GCCCGCCAGGAGAGGCTGCTGCTGCTGCTCCGGGTACCCTCGACGCTGGTGGGCCTGGGCCCGCTTCAGGGCCGCCATCAGGGCGTTCGAGATTGGCGGCTCCATGGAAGAGCTCGTGTTCTGCGAAGTAGGCAATCGCTCCAGGGCCACGCTGAAGCATAGCTCCAGCGCCCTGCACTGGAGCGGGTGGGAGGAATTCGGGTGCGATTTTATGCAGGCCTGCCGCAGGAACCCCGAGGGGGATGCCAGCAGCGTCGCCGCCACGTGGAGCGGCGTCGTCTGTCCATGGTTCCGGCGGCCGGCCTCCGCGATTGAGTGGTTGAGCACGCTGGCCGCCTCCGCCGTTAGGGTTTGCTGGATGGTGCTTAGTCCCGCTCTCATTGAATTGATCGGACCGTTTCAAACTTAGAGTTGAGTTGTATGTATGTATGTCTGTGAGGGCACGGGAAGAGACAGAGAGAGAGAGAGAAAAGGAAATTAGTGTGTGTGGCGAGATATTAAGATAAGAACACTTGCAATATAGACAAATTCACATTTTGAAGGGTGGCCAAAACAAGCTTTTTACAAACACAAACAAAGTAATACCCTAGCTTTCCTTCCTTCCTCTCTCTCTATCTTCTCCTCCTTTCACTTTCTCGCCTCAGCTAAACAAACTTTTTCCAATTCCAAATTCAACGCCAAAAGGAAATCTCATTTTTCTTCTATTCTCTCTCCTCAACTTACTTTCTATCTCCGTCCATGTCAAACTATAACCAACCTGTCCCCAGGAATATAAAGCTAGCCCGCATCGGATGAACTAATTAATTTCGCCTCACCATATTATTCTATTCTAATTAGTAATTACCCCTCTACTGCAAGTAGAGAGAATTTCTAGTAAACGGAGGATGAAAGTACTATCGGTTGCAAGGATTTCTGCAAAAAATGCTTTGTCCACACACCCATCTGCTCTCCTTTTTCTGTCATCTTTTTTCCCTTTGCTTCTTTTTTTTTTATTTCAACGCTTATTTCCTCTCTGCATTTTTTTATAATTCAATTTAAAGCCTAATTTGTCTCCACTCCACACATTAGTTATTAGTTAATACTTATGAATTATGATGATGGAGCAAGCCAAAACACCTTTTTGCACCACACACCAGTCCACACAGGGATATTAATATTTATAAATATTAGAGAGGCGTGTGTGATTGGATAGAGAAATGTAAAAAGTAAAAACATAAAGGAAAGATGAAGGGTGAGTAGTGAGTTGGACGCACGCAATGGAAGGTTGAGCACACGAGCCAAGAAGCATTGGACACATGCAGAGGGGCCCTCACGCGCCTAGGAAATGTGACAGTAACTGCTGCTGTCTCACTCCTCAGTTTTGCCTTTCAACCAATTTTCTGCTTTTCACACGCAACACCTACAAAAGGTATCTCCCCACTTTCACCTTTTTCATACTTGCATCTCTCTCTTACTTTATCTCAAGTCCAACCCTACGTGAGATCGTTTGGCAACTTACCATTACCGCATCAAAACACCCACCTATTCCTTAATTAATACGCGCTATTAAACTTAACTTTTCCAATCACTTCTAAAGTCAAGACTAATCATGCTTTCTTTTTTCATATCTTTTTTTACAAATAACTCTAAATATTTAATGCTCTCAAAATATCTATTTTACTTTTTCTTTTTTATATAACACTTATTACTCAATTCCTCCTCATTCAATTTTTATTCATAATATTCTATTTTGTATTATTTTTTAATTATTACTATTATTAATGACACACTTATTCAATTAACTATTTATTAAATTAAGAAATACTCTCCCCATCTCAAAATAATTATTATAAAAGAAGAAAAAATTTGTTTCAAAATATGTTCTTTTTAACTTTTTTAATTCAGACTATTAATTACTTTTTCTTTTTTTTTTTAATTTATGCCTTTAATAATAAAGTTCTTTCTCCTATATTTATTACTTTTTATAAAGTTAAATAAGATTAATTTTATACTCATCTATTTATTATTTCTTTTGTATGTGTAATACACTAATATTGATAATTCTTTTGAGACACATAAAGTAATAGTTTAATTAAATATATTTTTGTGAAAAGAATTAATATAAGAGACTTTTTATATTAATTTTATAAATAAATAACAGTTGTGATTTAGATCTTCTAAAAAGGTCGGAGGAAATATTAAATATTATCATTAAAAAATGCATTTAGTATTTCTCTACATTGAATAAGAAATTAATAATATTGGATTCTGTTGCATTAAAATTACTTCACACTATTTTATCGTGAGTTGGGTAACTGCACTAAATTTTAAAATCAACTTTAAGAAAAATAGTAATTTACATAACCGGCAATGAGTAATTTAAGTGATCGTATTAATTCGAGTTTAGCTCTTGTCTTGAAGTTCAAATTAAATTCAATATACTCTACTTTGGAGTCACGTTGTTTGTTGCATGACTTCATGTTTGTTAAAATGAAAACGATAGCCCCGTTATCTTTTGTGATGGACCATATGTGTAGAATAACATTGAATTTTACCACCATTTGCTTACTATAAATAAATAAATAATATATATATATATATATATATATTTGTTTTGTGAATATAATTTATTTATTTAAGTTGAATTTAAAATTAACACATTTTGAGTCAGTTAAAAGTAAAAGTTGTTTTTATGGTCTCCTAATTGGATGATGTATTATTACTTAGTTTGATTTAAAAATTAAAAAGAACATTTGTCAAACACAAGACAATTTGTGTAATTTGTGCTTAATAGAGGAAGTGCAATAAATGCATTGAAAATGGTTGAGGCCTAACCTTCCCAGGCCACAGCCGCCCAATAATATCTGGCATTAAATTTAGTGGACAAATTCAACTTGGTTTTATATGGACCGACCTTCATTGAATCCGAAAAATAACAATCTTCATTAAAGAAGAAAACGACCTCCGTAGAACACCTTCTTTTTATTTTTAACTTACTACTGCATATACTTAATACGAACGACATGTTCATTTCGGAAACCAAAATCAAATTGAGACAAAGTAGACGACACAACCGTTTTCACAGATTCTCATAAATAAATTTTATCAAATAAACCATTATTTTTATCATTCAATCTTAAATAAATATTTGGTCTTGCAAAAATTAAGTTATCATGTTATTCCTTCCATTTATTACTTTTTAAAAATTTATTCAATAATTAAGAGAATAATTTAACACTTTTAATTTAAGAAAATAATCCAAAATCATGTTTGAGTAAATTCTTTCACTCTTATTGTTCCCATTTACTTTACTTAATAGAAATGTTAAAGAGTCAAGAACAAATAATGTTCAGGCCTCTCAAACGTAGGTATGGGATCATTAATACGTATATGTACATGAAAAAGTTATTCTGCATTATGTACGGACAGCTGCCAGCTTTACAAAATAAAAACATAAAAGAACAAGTGTATAGTTGATTAATTGTACAAATTAAATACGTAAAATTTTAAATCAATAATTGTTCCATTAACCTACTATAAACGCAAAAATCACTTGCAAACTTCTATATATTAAATAAAAAAAATAACGTGTATTCTTATAATTAATTTTAAATAATTTAGAACTAATATGAAGAAAATGAATATAAAAAAAAAAGAGGGAGGTAACATTTTGGAGATAAGAAATGATAAGGAGTGGTCTAAGACTAATGATAATGGTGATTATGGAAGTGTGAGGAAATTAATATTGAGATGTGAGAGTGTAAGGCTTTTGGGATTCCGAACTTTATATGAGAGAGAAATGGGTTTATGAGAAAAGGTTAGAGTAGAGAAAGGCAAAAAATAATGAATGATGATAGTTCCTTTTTGTAACGCACGCCCTCCATCCCTTTCTTTTTCGCGTTTATCGAGCTCAGTCACCACTCACAAGTCACAACTACTTCTACTACCTTTATAGTGTACGCATCCACCTCTCTCTATTTGTCTCTTTTCCACAGCCTTTGCTTCCTTCATGTCTCAACCATTTCTACTCATTCCTTCCATTTCATCTTCGCACACACGCTTGCCATGGGGACGGATTGTCCTATCCTATGTTTCATTTAACGCAAACGGATCCAACCAAAATATTACCATCATATCATTGTATTCATTTTGTATTAACTTACAAAATGACTCTCGTAAATATTAGACTAGTCCACAACAACAAAAATAAAATTAAGGGAATGATGGCCATGTCCTAGTAGTGTTTAGTATTTTTTTTTTCACTCTCAATTACTGATAAATCATGTAATGAATCATTTTCAAGTTTTAAGTAGATATGTAAAAGTTAATAAATTTATAGTATTTAACAATCCGTCACGATTTTTACATTTAACATCAAGATGAAAAATTTAAGTGACACACAATCTTACCAAATTAACATGATCTTTTCATGTTTTTCATGTCTGCTAGATGAACAATTAAGTTTAGATACCAATCAAGAATTACATGATTTCTCATATGTCACTGCTTAAACTAAAAGTTTAGTATCACTATAAAGTAAAACATAGCTTAGGCATAGGCTTACTATGACATTAACATACATTAAATGCCTAAAATATTATCAGCATCACACCTCAACAATTATCATTTATATGCATTACTCTAAGTCAACGGATATAAATCTAACAACATTAATCAATGTATAACACAATTGCACTCCAACAGCTTGACCATATAACCATCTACATATATTATCACAAATCAATATACAAAGAACTAACAATCCCTTTCAACAAACAACATGTAGTAGAATCATCTATTCTATCTATGTTCACTAATTAATCATCAAAATAACAAGTTAAAATAAGACAACTCGCGCCCAACGTTCTCACACACCTAGTGTCATACAACCCACATTCATCATAGATTTGGTAGAGACCCCTAGACTCTCACACCTAGAGTGGTAAAATCCCATGCTCGACCTTAATCCAAGTATAGATAATTCTCTCTTTACGATTGACACCGCTCATTTGGCACCCAATGTCATTCAAATATATGTTCAACATGACTAAATCAAAGGTTATTCTCTCTTCTCATGCTTGACATCATTTATCTAACACTCAGTACGAGTGAGACAGAAAACCTCCTAATTTGAGTCATGCCAAAAATTGTAAGATTGTATACGTTGATTTTAAAAAATGACAATAGGAAAGATTGGAAAATTTATGTTCTATTTATAATTTTTATTATAAAATATGTTTTAAAATAAATTATCATCTAAAAATTTATATCACATATTAAAAACATGTTTATATCATAAATAAATTAAACTTGGTTTTATAAAATTTAACATATTTATTTTTATGTTTTTATTTATGAGAGATAAATATGTCATATTTAGTACATGTATTTTTAAAGAAAGTTGGATTCAAACCTATTAAATTATAATATAACATAGTCTAACCTAGCTAATTTTCATCCTTAATCGTAATTGTAGATATAAAAACTTGTAAAAAATAATTATAATATATATTTCTACTTTTAAAAGTTATATGTAAAATTTTTAATATTACAAATATAAGAATAAGTATTGCCCCTACTATCTAAAATTTCTGAATCCGTCATTGTATATATATATCATAATACTTAAATTTAAATACTTACAAGTATATAAATCAATTAATATAAAATTATTTTAATTTAATCAATAAATTTTAGTTCAAATCTTTAATATACAACAAATATTTGGATATGGTAGACCATACTTGTTGTCAATTAAAAAAAATACTTTTGTCAAAAATAATACTTAGATGGGAAACAAGATTTAGACCCTTAGATCTGTTTGATATTTATATTTCTTTCTTTCTTTCTTTCTTTTCCCTAATTTACCCCTCTTCTTCTTTCTTCACCGTGACTCTCCTCCTTCTTCTCTGTCGCCACCACACAACCACCACGGACCACTGCAAAAATCAGACGAAAAAAAATATTCAGCTCCAACAACAAAACATGAAACAAAAATATTATAAAAAATATTCCGCAGACTCATGGCGTTGAAACTCTGGTGCTGCACACCAAACAGCGCTCGAGGATGGAGACATTGTCCGGCACAGAAAG